TTACAATGAAGGTTGACAAAGGTTGTTTGTGGAGCATTGACATGTGTAAGAAACCAGTAGCAATCTTTATTTAAATTTCGCTTCTTACATGCGAACAGCATTCTTTACATGAAGCACGAAACTTTTACCCACAAAAAATAATCTTCGCATAGAACTTAGTACGTATGTTGTACGCATTGTATGACGTTTATTGAAGCATTCCAAGCAATAATATTTCCTACCTCCTAACGGTTTACCGGCTCATCGTAGCTGGGAGGTGTTTCTGGGCGTCGGGCTAGGATGTACAGCGGAGAGATTCATTCCATGCTAGGGTCTTCCAATCTGAGAAGGAAACTGGTGTTTCCATCAGGAAGCCCAGCTAATACTAAACCAATACCATTATCCACTGCCGTCCTGATGTCAAAGTCGTGTGGTGGCAAATCTCCCTGCGAACATTGGCCAGGCTGTACTCGGGACTCGAAAAAACCACAATGGCTTAATCAGCAAATCTGCAGAGAATGGAAATTATGCTGGGGCCTGCACAATCAATGAAGATGGGCCATCCAAGTATCCAAGTAATATTACTTACAACAACTCAAAAAACTAGTTTTCTAAAAACCTCTGCATAGATAACCGATCTATATATATATTCTTACGAACATCAATTGTTCAGCTGATGCGAGGTTGGTATAAGTATAAGGTGTCGTTGTCCTCGCTGTTGCTGCTGCTGCGGTTGACCTTTCGGCGATTTCGTATTCCTCAGAGCCGCCGTGGTGCTGCGTGTGGGATTATCCTTGTGATGTTCACCTGGGACGACGAGTTCCTACAACAGTTGCAACTATTGCTAACCTTTCCAGCACGTTTAACAGTGTTTTTTTTGATTGTGCTGTTTTGTGGCAGCTCTGCAACGTCCTGCACATCGTCTCCTCATTCCCTTCTTAAGGCTAAATATAAGTGCCACGACCGACTTTCTATTAACCTCGGCATTGATCAAGTAATTTTCTTCGTATTTTTGTTGAGCAAACGCGAGGTGTTATTATTTTTTGTTCACGATTAAGCTGACGTTTCGGCGGATTTCGCCTTCCTCAGAGCCGCTTCCTATGAGGTTTCCACTAAGTATGTCACGTAGAGACCAACCGCACAAAAATCGCATAAAAGTATAATAAGCAAAATAAAAATATATAATAAGATATAATAAGCTAAAATAAGCATCAGTGGCTAATCCACTTAACAAGTGGGCAGTAGACCACTGCCTCATCGCTTGTGTTCACAAACAGGTTCTCCTGGCCTTAGCTTTCAATCAGCTGCGATTTTGATGACCCAGAGCAAATGTTCGCTTCATGCAATATGGAACACATAATAATGTCGTCATCCTTTTCCTCCACTTTAGCATTGTTACATTGCCCCCCTATTACATTGAATTTTTGAAAGTCTGAATTTTACATGAGCTCAAAATGAAGACTACACTTAAGAGGAGCTATAATTTCATTCTAAATATTATTTAATCTTATGAACTGATCTTTTTAAGCTGATGCGAGGCTGGTAGAAGTTTTCGTTGACGCAGTTGTTGTTGTTGGTTGATGGCTGACGTTGTGGCGATTTCGCCTTCTTCAGAGCCGTGCTGTTGCCTGTGCACATTTGGCCTATACAATGTTCCCGAGCTCGAAGGTATAGAAGGCTCGGTGAGACTGGTGAGCGCGATCGATGTCATGCCTATTGCAGAGCGGCTCTAACCACTGCTCAATGATCACCCTAGGTGAACTATAGTAAAAAAAAAATTCAACGTGGAGTATTGAGGTTATGGTTTCTAGCTATTGAAAGTTTATCTTTTTTATCCGAGAAACCAGCATTGTCACGTTTCTATCACGATCGAGTCCTCCGTTTTTTAGCCACCACGAAATAAGCCTTAGTCGCTATGTGTTAACAGACATTTAGGTCACCTGTTTGAAGAAGAACTTGAATATTCTGCAGCTGGCGACATTCTTTCGGCGATTTTTGAAACAACTGATCAGATTATTAGCGCACTTCTTTTGTATTGTTTTCTTCCTTCTCTCTTTCCTTTTTGCCTTTTTTCCTTTTAACATTTCCTACTGCATTCCTTGCCATCCGTCTCTCTTCAGCTCTTCTTTCCTTCCTTTCTTTCTACTATCCTTCTCCACTTCCTGTTTTCCATTTGTTTCTCTCCTCCTCAAAGTTTTCCGATCGTACTCGTCTGCCAGAATTCATGGCTGCGATGATCAGTCAGTTAGTTGTTCGAGAGCGTTGACCTCATTTACGGCGTGTCTTCCTTGACGTCCTACAATCAAATTATACAATACAGAAAAGACTTTAGGAATAATATATATTAATAATTATATATATAATAATGCATATTTCTAAAGTCTTTTCTGTATTTTATAATTTGATTATAGAACGTCAAGGAAGACAAGACGCCGTAAATAATAAGTATTCCTGTCATTTCGTTCATTTTCTCTATCAAATCTCAAAAATCCACTTCATTTCCTCTTCGTTCGTTCCTCCACGTATTTCTTTTTGTTTCGCATTTTGTGTTGCACAAACTGGTATCGATCGAAGCTTAGCGGGTTTGGTAATAATAACCGTAATAATAATAATCAGTAATGATAAAAGTCGTTACAATAATATTTTAACTCAGTTGTTGACGATACGAATCGTTGATTCAGCGAAAAATGTTGATTTGAAGTCAGTTATCCTTCCTAACATTTTCACTTTTTTCATTTAATATGATCCGACTTCACGCCTAATGCGCGGATCTCAGCACTTCTCACATTCGATTCGCTTCCTTGCATTCATTGTTCATGAAGCTTTTTCACATGTGGCTTCGGATGCTGCTTGAGGATATTCATTTCATCTTGAATGTCGTAGAATGTTGGTCGACCGATTCTCCCTGGGTCTTAGATAGCCGGGCTGAAGCGTTCCCAATTGTATTGCAAAGTGATTTTTCCCAGACAAGTCCGGTAGCAGTTCCTCAACGCTGAAGGGATAGGAGGTTTGGTTGGCACGAAGCGGAATCAAATTAGCACTGACATTACGTTTGTAAACACCAATTTTCATCTTGTACTACTTTCGGGGTATAGACTTTTTGTTTTACTCATTTTTCTTTCCTTTTCTTACAGCTTTTTAGGGTTCCATACATTTGAAGAAATTTCTTCGCGTACGTCAATATCAAGGGTGCATGTGACACAGTGGTTGGAGGCACCACTGCGACACACACGTGGAGTCGATCCTCGTGCCCATGGCCCAAAAAGCCTTCCATCCCTCTGGGGTCGGCAAATTGGTACCAGACTTGTTCGAGAGGATAGCAGCACTGGCTCGATAGATCAGTAGGCCACCGCGAGTCATTGTAAAGGCCAGATATTTATTCAATCACCTCCAACAATAGTTAATGAAGTCGAATGCATGGCGCATCTCTCAGGGATTGATCAACGCCGAGAGCTTTATTCTTTATCCTTTACGTCAATATCAATGCTATAATTGTTTGCTGAAAATTTAGATAATCCCAATCATTTCTACCCGTTCATTTACATATTCAGTCAGTATTTGGAGTTTGTTTTCATCATGGGTTATTTTTGCGAACATTTGTTTATTTTCAAATGAAGTTTCGGTACTTCTATTTCTTTACTCGTTAAAGAATTGTTCATTAGGTTAGCGACTCCTAAAGTCTCAGGAACTTCATTAGGAGAAGCACTCCGGCTACTAAATTACATGACTTCTACTAACGTTTTTAATGAGTGTTTTGTTTTTATGTACAATATTTTTAGGATTATCTATGAGAACCGATGTCGTACGTTGTATCTGTACTATGTTGGTGCTGGCTGGGGTGACGGCCAAAGAACGTCATGTTATTCCGATGGAACGTCCTCCGGACCTATTAGCTGAATCGTCGTCGAAGACGTTTTTCATTCCACAGTCGCCGAATATTCTATTTCCTAACAGTTGGTACATAACACCATCAGCTGCCTTCATAATGCCAACACCAATTTCCGCTTCACAAGCGACCGTTGCTGAAAAATCATCTTCACCTCAGCTTCTGTCTTTCGTAGACACCTTTCACGATGAGTTACACGGCCCTCCTTCACCTTCTTCATCGTCATTCATTTCACTTCCTCAATTTATGCCACCGTCTACTCCTCTATTGCAACCTTTAACAATTCCGATTCCACCACCGCCGCTACCACCACCAACGATGATGAGTACAAATACAGACAGTTCATTGTCGTCATTAAAACCGCTCAACCTCGATCCGGAAGCGATAATGAGCGTGGTAAGTGTAAAACTGAATAAGAGATTCATTATTTCACTTCCACTCCTAACGGTTTACCGCCTCATCGTGCCTGGGAGGTGTTCCTAGGTGTCGGACTGCGATGTACAGCAAGGCAATTCCTTCACCCGGCAGAGTCTCCCAAGCTGAGTAGGAGTCCGGCGTTTCCATTAGGAAGCCCAGCTAAGATTAAACCAATACCAGGATCCACCACCGCCCTGGTATCAAAGTCGCATGATGGTAGGACTCCTTCTGATCTACAAGGGCTGCGCCTGCCTGTCGTGGTAACTACCTGGGGCAAACTTTGGCCAGGCTGTCCTCGGGATTCCTGGGAACCACAATGGCTTAATTAGCAAATCTCCGAAAAATGGTGATTATGCTGGGGCTCGCACAACTAGTGAGAACGGGCCGTTTAAGTATCAAGTAAGCAAGTATTTCACTTCCTGATATGAGCTTTTCCTTGATGCTTTTTATTCTTTCCGTTTTCAAGTAGATATTCTAGCATGGTAAGAAAATTTTCTTAAACTCTTAGGACCTACAATACTTGAAACTTGCTGAAGCAAGAGTGTAGTTTAATATAACCTATTCTTGTTGCGTATTTCCTAGTTTTCCATTTCTTTTTTTGTTATACGCACCAGTGGCTAATCTGTGGCTAAGTGGTTTGTTTGTTTTTGTTTGTTTTGATTTTTATGTCAGCGATTATAGAACACATCCATTAAGCACGAATTACCTAAATATGTCGATGATCTTTTCTAAGCTACTCAGAAAGCCTCTAGTCTACTAATTAGCACCTCTTCTCGTCCTCTTCTTTCAAAAGAACCACATAGAATCCAGTTGTTTCAGTAGTGAAGGGAGCGCTGGGTTTTTCTACGCTATCCTTTCTACAATTGTACTAACGATAAATGTAAGTTGCACTATCTCGACTCATCAATTTCAAACTTTAAGCCGGAAATCATTCAACACTGGGGTTATCCGGTTGAGGTACATCAAGCTGTGACGGCAGATGGATATGTTCTCACTCTTCATCGAATTCCATATGGAAAAGGTAGGAGCGACTCACTTCATATACTTTTAAATACCACTATTTCACGTACAATCACACTTCAATCTCAAATGATTGACTTTTTTATTTACTGCTTATTATTATTTTTCACGACAGGGTATGATGTGAGATGCAATTACTACGATGCTGAGATAATTGCAAAACTTGAACACAAAGCCAGATCGAATCGCGATTACCCTTTCCGGGGTTCACGTGTTACTCACTGCACCATTGAGGCGCTTGCTTCGCCTTTATCTAAGCCAGTTTCAACCTAACGCTGCCACGAGGAATTTTTTTCTGCAAATATTTCAAATGATTAAGTTTATCTTTAAAAAAATCGGCAATGAACGGACTCCTGACGGAAAATTTATTGAAATCTATCTGTTTATTTATAATTCTAACAAATTTAACCTTATCACAAAGCTATTTCCAACTCATTTTCAGGTTGCTACGACCTCCTTAACACTTGCATGAATTTTTTCCCTCATTCTTACGAGATGGTTTAATTCATGAAAACATTAGATTACTAATGAGAAGAATTTTATAAGTGGCTTGATCTAAGACAACCAGATACGGGGCTCCGCTCTCTTCTAAGGATAAAGGATAAAGCTCTCGGCGTTGATCGATCCTTAAGGGATGCGCCTTGCATTCAACTTCACTAGGCATCGTTTGGAGGTGATTCAATGCACATCTGGCCTTTATAATAACTCGCGGTGGCCTACCGATGCAACGAACCAGTGCTGCTATCTTCCCAGACAAGTCTGGTACCATTTTGCTGACCCCGGAGTGATAGAAGACTTGGTGGACCATATACGAGCGGATCGATTCCACGTGTGTGTTGCAGGGCGCCTCCGACCACTGCGCCCATTCCGCTCTCTTTTAGCTTACTAAATCCTCTTTTGACTGGTGGAAGAGCAATTGATGATTATAGGTGCTGAAAATGGGTTTGTGGGATGGTTAATTATTTACTAACTTTACTAATTTCTTCTTTGTTATAGAAAGCAACATTGCAACGTCTTCGCGACCGGTCGTATTTCTTCAGCACGGACTTCTTTGCACAAGTTCTATCTGGTTGCTCAATCTACCTCATCAATCCGCTGGTTAGCAGCTAAACATTTCTTCTCATTGCATTTCAACAAAGAAACCAAAATATCTTTACGTCATTTTTTCCTTACAAACCTTTCACGTATTTATTTATATGGTCATGTAAACCTATCTTTTTGAGATGATGCGAGGTTGATATAGGCTTTTGTTGTCGTTTTCGTTGTAGTTGTTACTGGTGCCAGTCGATGGCTGACGTTTCGGCGATTTCGCCTTCCTCAAAGCCGTGCTATTACGAGTGGGACTTTCACGTATTTATTCCTGTATGAAGTCCTGGAGCACGTGTACGGCAATGGTCGGGGGCGCCGTGCAATACGCATGGGACCGATCCCGGCGCCCCAGGTCCTCCATGCCTTCCATTATTCTGGAGTTGCCAAATTGGTACCAGACTTGTCTGGGAGAACAGCAGCATTGGTCCGATACATCGGTAGGCCACCGCGAGTCATTGTAAAAGCTAGATATGCATTCAATCACCTCCAAAGAAGTTTAATGAAGGCGAAAGCGTGGCGCATCCCTTAGGGGTAGATCAACACCGAGAGCTTTACCATTTAATCCACTAGTGGTGTCTTTGTCAACAAAACTGAGGAAAATGTGGGACGAAGGCATGACAGAGGTTAAGAAGTGTTAGGCGTTCAACTTTAGCTTATTATTTACTGCCTATTCTTTTTTAATGGCAGGGTATATTACGAAATATAACTTCAATGATGCTGAGATATTTGCAAAACCCCGGACCGCAGACATCTGCGGTGGGGAACGAGCGCGCTATTGTCCTTTCTGGGGAGTAATACGTTCACCACCACACTATGTGGGCCCTCGGGCTCCCCAGATAAATCCCGCTGACGAGTGATTGCTGATGGCAAAGATCGATAAAACTAGCTGAGAGAGAGGCGTAACGGAGGACCCACGTGGTGTGGTGGTGAACGCGTTACTCCACCCTGCTCTCCCGAGTTAAATATCTCAGCATCATTGATGTTAAGCGATCAGTTTCTTCAACATTTCGTCACGGAAAGTTTCAGACAATCATACAATTTAAATAAGACGTATTCTTGCCATTCAATCTTTTTTGCGTCCTGGTTGGGAACTATTCTTCCTATTGTTAATAAGTGCAATGCCAGATGTCATCGAATGGTTTGAACGGGTATCAGTAGAGTTTGCCGTTCGTCCTCATGCAATTTAACTACAGACGAGAACTTGCCGAGACCTGTGACCGCTAGAAAATCGTGAAGGTCATCACCGTAAGAGGAAGACGTTGTTGTGCATTGTGGTTGGCGATCGAAAACCGACATACGTGGAACATCGCGGAAGTGCTGAAATTCCCATCCAGTTCTTATGAAGTCCGTCCCAATAAGAATATTGAACAGTCTCATCTCTAGTTTCTCATCTCTTAACATCGTAGACGAAATCGCATGAAAGGATTGATGAGGATGATTCATTACTAGTTCGGCAAGTTTTACCGCTGAGTACTGAAATATTTCCTCTGGTACGTTTTCACGGCCAATTACACCGACTTTATAACTCAAAAGACCAACTTTCTATAAACCTCGGCATAGATAGCTGGTATGTTTATTTACATGATATTATAAAATGATCTTCTTTAGCTGATGCGAAGTTGGTATAGGTCTTCGCTGTCGTTGTCGTTGTCGTTGTTGTTGGTGATTTTCTTCGATGACTGACGTTTCGGCGATTTCGTCTTCCTCAGAGTGTGGACGTATTTTATATTAGAATATTTTTATTATTCGGTGGAAAAAAGGTTAAAGTATTAATGAAGATCAAACTTTTAAATAGACACCATATTGAACAGAAAGGCTGCTCACTGTGATGTTACGAGTGGGACTGGCCCACGCGTCATTCACGTGGAGCCGCGAGCGAGGCACACCCAGGGTTCAAAATATCATTTCGAAATAGAGCGTCAGGTCGCGTGTGACAGTGAGGCATTCGTCTTTCCGGTCCGTCTTTGGATTTTTGAGATTTATCCAAAACGCCCAAGAGTCTTGCGTGTTGATGTTTTCGATTCCTGCGCTAGGATCCGAACAGTCACTTCAAAATCATCGCTATTGTGCTTTTGTGTCCTATGCGTACCTAGAGCAGTGTTTTGACGAATTTCAACTTTCCCATCTAGATGTTCTTTTATACGAACACAAAATGGTCTACCCGTTTTCCCAATATATTCCTCACCGCATGAGTTACATGAGATCAATTATATTATACCTGAACTCATGCAACTCCCGTCTCTCCCGTTAGGACAGATCGTTCAGTTTTCGTTACATAGAGACGGTTGCGGACTAAGTGACGGCGTAGGGTATTGGGTGGGATGTCGATAATCGTTACATAATTTTCAAGGCCACTTTTTCTTAAGCGTCTCTTATTGGTGTAATTTACTTCATTTGACATGAAGGGTAACTTAAAAGAGATTTTACTTACGTCCGAAACACATTGTTTTGGGAAATTACCTTACGTTTTTGTCTAACACGAGTGAATTCGACTTCGTAGCCATTGGAAATGGCTAATTTTCGTGCCAGGCTTTGCGATTCCTACCTTTCCTCTTCTTCTTTACACACATTTTTAGCCGTACCATACATGTTTTTGACAAGTGCATTTTTCATGTTCGAAAGATGAGAGGAGAAGTAGTGAACTAGTATTTTCTTTACTATTTGGCTTACGACACCATTTTGTTACATAGCCACTTTCTGAGAGCTTTATTTGGATGTTTAAGAATGGAAGCCAGTTCTCGGTTGATTTTTTCTATGTATCATTTTCAAAATATCATTTTGACCTCTGGGTGTGTCCTGCTCGCGACCCCACAAGAGCATCGCGTGAGCCAGTCCCACGCGTAACATCACGGTGAGCATCCTTTCTGTTCAATATGGTGTCTATTTAAAAGTTTGATCTTTATTAATACTTTAACTTTTTTCACAGAATATTCTAATAAAAATATTCTAATATAAAATACGTCCAGACTCTGAGGAAGACGAAATCGCCGAAACATCAGCCATCCAACAAAAACACCAACAACAACGACAACGACAACGAAGACCTATACCAACCTCGCATCAGCTAAAGATGATCACTTTATAAGATCATATAAATAAATATACAGACTTTAGTTCACCGGAGTGTAGGGGCTCCTCTATTTTGCTCTCAGGTACTTTCCAAGTTCCGGCAGTCGTTTTTTGATGGAAACATCGAACTCCTACTCAACTTCGGCAACCCTATAATTGGCGTTACTATAGTTGTTAACAGTTCGATATCCCGAAACAACATTTATTTATCACTATAACGGCGAATCTATTGTCGTTATTATTGTCATTGTTACTGCGTTATTTTTGTTATTATTAGAGTATTAAAATACTGATAGATGAATCGACATTACTTATTCTACGGATCATAACAGTTCTCTAATTCGATCCGTTTCCTCACATTCGTCATTTGCGAAGGCCTTCGGAATTTGCGTATGGATTCGATTGCTGCTCGAAGATTTGGCCGTCATCATAAATGACTTTGATTGCTGATTGAATGGATTGGTATCTGTGATAGACCGTTCTCATATTGTGATCGCAATGAATCGCCAATATTTTGTGGATCTGAAGAGCATCTCCTAGGCACATTCGGTTTTAATTTTCGAGACCTGGAGATATGGGAGGGTTGCTCGACGCGGAGCGAGGTCAAACCACTGACCGTGAGCGTTTTATTGAACTCCGCTCCTAACCACTCCGTTTCCCACACCCCGGTTTTCTCAATATGGAATAAAAAATGCGGCAAATGAGTGAATATGAAGTGGGGAATCATTTCGCAGAAGTTGAAGTGGTGGTTTCTTAATTGAGGTTTCATATTCGCGGACAACGGCTTCGATGTATGGTTGGGCAATATGCGTGGCAACGCCTATTCAAAACAACACGTCTCAATTGGCAGCGATTCTAGTGATTTTTGGAAATTCAGGTGCGTTCCTCTCACGACGCCTTCAGCCCTACTGAGAACTCAACTTTTGTCTTTTTGTATAGAGGGGAATTCAGGAACTTTGAGTATTTAGAAGAAGAATATTAACTTTTCTTATTTGCTGCATGTTACAACTTTTCACGGCAGAGTATTAAGTGTGATACAACCACGATAATGCTGAGATATTTTCAAAACTGCGGACCACAGGTGTCTAGAGTGGGTATCGAACTCGCTACTACCTTTTCTGAGGACTAACGCGTTCACCACCACACCATACGGATCCTTCGTTTCGCCTGCTTCTGCGCTAGTTTTCTACTGATCACTGCCACCAGCAGTCACCCGTCAACGGTATTGATCTGAGGAGCTCAAATAGGCAATGAGGAAGAATATTGTTTTACACACATTTTTTTCAAACAGTACTTTCATATGTCGGGAGCGGCAAGTAAAGGTGATTAGTAGAAATATCTAAACGATTAAAAAGATAGAAAAATAATAAATGGACGATACACAGTAGAAATATTAGAGAACAAAAATCAATGCATTGTGGATTTGAAACAAAAGAAAATTCTTTAGAATGATGGTGGGGTAATATTCCTAAACTGATCGAAGCCGTGGAGATTCTAGCAACAACTTGATGACCCGTAGGGATGAAAGGCTTTTTTCGTCTGTGGCGCGGGGTTGAACAAGCAACCATGTGTATATTGCAGGAAACTTTTAGCCACTGAGCTATACGCCTATTCATTGTTTTTTTTGCTATTTTAATAATCTTAACTTTTTAATTTACTGCCTTTTTCCTTTTAATGGCCGGGTATGTTGCGAAATATAACTCGTATATAATGCTGAGATTTTTGCAAAATCTCCGGACCGCAGGTGTATGCGGTGGGGAACGAGCGCGCGCTATTGTCATTACCGGGGAGTAGCGCACTTCACCACCACACCATCTGGGTCCTTCGTTTTACCTGTCTCTCGGCTAGTTCTGTCGATCTTTTTGCCATCCCGTTGACGGGTGATTGTTGATGGCATCAATCTCGTTGACGGATGATTGCTGATGGCAGAAATATCGATAGAACTAGCTGAGAGACAGGCAAAACGAAGGATCCGGATGGTGTGGTGGTGAAGTGCGCTACTCCGCGGTAAGGACAATAGCGCGCGCTCGTTCCCCACCGCATACACCTGCGGTCCGGAGTTTTGCAAATATCTCAGCATTATATGCTATTTTAATATTTCAGTTGGGAGGAGATGGCTGAATTTGACTTACCAGCAATGATTGACTATGTATTACATAGAACTCAGCAACAATCACTTTATTATGTCGGTCATTCGCAAGGATCATTGACAATGTTGGCGAAACTAAGCACGGATAAGAAATTTTCGCAAAAGGTATGTGCCAATAAACTCAAAATAAGAATCAGTTTCCAGGTTTCTCACTTCTTATCAAACAGTGATATTTTCTGGACAAAAGATTTGGCAGAATTAGTTTTCGGTTTCGTTTCTTCCTGTTCTCTTTGGCATGGAAAATTCTATGAACGACGGATATCTTGACAAAAATTTCAACACTGTGTGGACCTATACTGGAACGTTCGCTCCATTTTTTAATGTCTTCCTCCAATTTTTGAACCTAAAAAGAGGATTTACGTTATTAGAGTAAGGATTGCGTCCTTTGGAAATCTATGTTCCTCTTTTATTTCCCCAAGCATTTGGTTCTTTTGGGGAATGTTTACTCTAGTCTTACCAAACAAGACCTATATCTTTTTTGCGTAGTTGCTTCAAACCTGGGTAATTAATCATTTATAAGTCACCTGTCATCTCTCGTTTCTTTGATTGCTGAGTGACCCAATCGGGCGCCAGTGAATCATCATCAATTTCTCCTTGAGCAGCATGTCATTCCTCTAGAGTCTATGCGAAGAACTTTGAACATCGGGTCGGTGGTCGGTCTGCAGTACATTTGGCATACCGAGTAATTCAGTCGTGGACGGTCATTGTCCACCGGTAATCGTTCATATACACTACGTGTCCGTCCCATTTCATCTTCGACAATTTGGTGTATAGAACGGAATCTTCGATTTTTGATCATTAACGCAGGTTGGAGCTTCGGATTCCTTCCCTTACTTGTGTGAAACGGGATGCTCTTAGCATCCTTCTTTCGATTGCGCGTTCAATAACACTGATTGGTGATATTTCATCTTGTGTACGCCACACCAGGTTTCTGGCGCAAACATTAAGGTAAAAAGTAGCGTTAAGTCGAAAAGGTAGAAACGGAGTCGAGTGTTCCTTGTTCTCCTCACTACATCATCAATGCTCTTGAGAGTTCGCCAAGTCGAGCGCTTCTTTCCGCTCAAGTCTGGAGCTAACTTACTTATCATGTTGATATCCGAACCTAGATAGACACGGCTGTAGCTTTCCGAGATATTCGTTCCACTGAGCGTGAATGGGTCATACGAAACTAATCCGTTTTTCGCGAATATCGTTTTTATGAGGTTAAGGCGAAGACCAATCTTTCCACAGACGTTGTCAAAGTCGCCTAGCATTCATTTCGCTTGGGTAAATGCTTGATGTTCTAAGAATTACGTCATAGGATAGGCGAAGGTTGTGTAATTGCCTACCGATTTTCATTCCCATGTTGTCCATTCCAATGTTCACATGACGTTCTTGAGGAACGCGGCAAATAATTTTGGCGAGATGGTATCGCCTTGCCTAATCCCTCTTTTGACGTCGATTTTAATGTCGTTATAAAGTGGTGATATTTTGATTGCCAAATTTTTATACAACTCATGAAGAATTCTTACATGCTTAGTGGGGCTCTGGTAGTTAAGGGATTTCATGACAACTTCTGTCTCAAGTAAGTCAAAAACTGTCCTTAAACCGATGAATGTGGGGACTCTTGAACTTAAGAAGTACCTTGAAAAGTCGAAGTTATCGCATGGGTGTGGTTTATCGCACGAAATCCGTTTCGAAACCTTGCTTGCTCACATGGCTCTCCGTCGCTCACAGCAAGCAAATTGAGCGATAGTGACTGACATCATGGAGTTTATTTTTGTTGAACAATAACAAAGTCTTCCTGGTCTTCCACTGAATGCGAGCCTTGCATTCTGGCAGGGTAATCTCCAAGTCCGTTCAGAACGCTTCGACTTAAGCTTCGTCATAGCTTGATATCGGTGTGTAGTCGGCAAAGATTGTCAAAGCCGGTAATGATCGACATCTGTCTTACCGCAAATGTTCGACTCGGATTGTTAGTTGTTCGAATGAATCGATGTTCACAGCGACTCATGTTGACGAGCGCGCCGACTCCATCGACTCCTCTATTATCGCATGTTTCTAGGAACAGTTCTTCTCCGCTGTTAGACGGCGTTAAACGGGTGGTGTCTTTTCGTCTCAGCTAGTTCGGCGAAACCTACCTTATCCCTATCGTATCTTTCTTGCATAATCAGTTCTTCTATGGAGGACTCAAATGCAAGTGTACGTGTATTGTAGGTGCAGGTCGTCCTCTGAAGACTTTGGATTTGAGCAGATCAGAATGGTCCTAAGATTTTGGCACCTTATTCGTACCTGCGTACCTAACGTTGCTAAAGAAAGGGCTTTTTATAGGTTGCGACTCCTAACAATCTTTCATCTACTTCGCAGTCGTTGTATTACAGGCTTTGGCAGAAGCGATTTGTAGAATACAATGCTCATAAACGAGAACACACCTACACATGCATGCACGAGTACGTCTTTGTTGACGCAGAAGGTGTGTCCCAAATAAAGCAGACTCTATCCCACGGATCCGCCTGTGTCTCAGACAGTGAGGCAAGGTTCTCTCTTGGCCTGTCATTAACCTCCTATATACACATGCATACAACGGGAAAGTAACCAAATCAATATGTAGACATGAAGGGGAAAGCTAAAGAGTGTTGGCGATTGATTGGGCGGAATTAGGAAAATTCTAGAAAGTTAGGATGTCGAGCAATCGGGCAAAAAGGCTTTTAATCAACGTGTGTCTTAGAGGATGTAAGCTGCTTGAGCACAGAGTAGGGAAGGAATTTCGTCTATCAGTGACATAATTAATCCTGGTATATCGTAGTTATACAAGAAAACTAATTTTTAACATATTGAAAGTGAGGGCAGCACAATGCTAGTGCTTAATTAATATTACCGCTTCATCACAACTTGCAGTGTATTCGAATTGTAGAATTTTAGAACGGGGATTTGGTCTTTTCATCGGGGTTACAACGGCCAAAACGAATTCGAAAATTCCAGCTAGGATTAAACGAGAACGCTACCAGATCACTTTATGCGGTGTGCTTTTAGTTTGAACCTATCCGTTCGGTGAGAACTCGCCACGTAGTCTTGAGAGTAGCTGCTTGAATACTTTGATAGTTCCTCCGATAATTATTCCATAGAACATACTGTAGTTGCATTTTTGCAGACTATTTCTGATTATTATGATAATTTCAGACCAGCTTTTGACCATTTGGCTTGCCTTCTATAGTATGAAAAGTAACATCGATTTATTCGTCACAGATACGGAAGTTCTTCATGTTGGCGCCGGTCTCCCGAATGTCGCATGTGAAAGGATTGTTTCAGTATTTGGGACAAATTTATGAACAGTTCAAAGTGAGAGCATTTTTCTTTTTATTGCTTTTAACACTTAGAGTTCGACTCGTAAACGCTACTGTCCGTCGTCTTTATTTGACGCTTAACATTTCAGAAAATTTTGCATGAACTGATATCAGCTCATGTCGCCCGCCCCACTTGCCTGCTATAGATCCATACCTCGAGCTCTACTGACGTCGAACTCTAGATGTTAATTTTACTATGCGGTTTCCATTAAAGAAAAAAATTTCATTACAAATTTGATTCAGTTCGCCTATCGACTATTCGGTGATAATGAATTCATGTCGAATAACATCTTTACTCGACTCGTAACAAATATTGTTTGTGATCAAGCGGTGAACAATCCACTATGTGAGAATTTCATCTTCTCTGTGAGCGGACCAAATAGTAATCAACTGAATTCGGTAAGTTATTACCATTGAATTTTGTAGAATCGCGATGAAAATACAGCTTGTCTAGAATAATTCTCGAAATCGAAACATTTCACGCAACATCCACATTAACAATTTTGATGCTTTGCATTGAGGGCGCGTGTGGAGTAGTGGTCGAAGGTGCCCTGCAACACACACATGGAATCGATCCCTGTGCCTCTGGCCCATCAAGCCCTCCATCCCTCCGGGGTCAGCACATTGGTGCCAGGCTTGTCTGGGAGGATAGCGGCATTTGCGTTATATATCGGTAGGCCACCGCCAATCATTGTAAAGGCCAGATATGCATTCAATCACCTTCCCTTCAAACGATACTTATTGAAGTCGATTGCATGGCGCATCCTTCAGAGATTGATCAACGTTAAGAGCTTTTTTATTGTTGTGCATTCTTGAGGACGAAAAACAGAAAAATTTGCTAATACCATATATATATATATATATCTCTTATAAATGTTGTGAATTCTTGTTCTTCATTAATTAGCCTATTGGTATGTACGAAAATTTCACTAATGAAGAGTTTCACGCCAATAAAAGCACCATTTGCTCAACTCACCGAATTTCTCCTGTGGAAAGGAATTCGGTCTTCAACAGATTTCATTTTAAACGACTGAAATAGTCTAATACAACTATTTGGTGAAGCGGTTAGCCAGATTATCAGCACAACGACGATCATAGAGTAATTTCCTGTTTCCTAACATTTTGTGAATTTTTTTCTTGCTTCTTCTCTATATCTCATTCGCCATGGGGTGCGTAAACGACAGTGATAGGAATGGCCTCCAATGATACCACGCGCATGGCTACTGGCTCGAACCCACCCTGGGATCACCAAGTTTTTCACACTCTGCGGTTGGGAAATTGGTACTGGACTTGTTTGTTCGAGAACACTTCACTCCCTCCGGTCCAAATGAAAATGCTCTGGCCTTCCCATTCCATGACTTCAGTGAGAATCGATTCGACCAGCATTCAACGGGATTCAATACGGAAAACGACAAGCTGGTAAAGCAGCCGAATACAATGTTCAAACTCGAAAATATTTATAGATGGTGGAGAAACTAAGCTGATTGAATGAAAAAAGATGTTGGGAACCGCACTATTTGTTATTCCGGGTGATATGGTAAAATAAAATTAGTAACATCTCATTCTTCTTCTTTCTCTACGCGACAGATGAGGTGTTCCTGTCTCCACAGCGTATTTGAATTTTCCATCCTTAATTAATTGCTCTTTTAACTCTTTTACTTACTGCCTTTTTCTTCTTAATGGCAGGTTATGTTGCGAAGTATAACTCATATGAAATGCTGAGATATTTGCAAAACTCCGGACCACAGGTGTATGCAGTGGAGAACGAACACGCGCTGTTGTCCTTACCGGGGAGCAGCGCACTTCACCACTACACCATCCGGGTCCTTTAAAACTAAAACTCCGGACCACAGGTGTATGCAGCTTTAAAACTAAAACTCCGGACCACTAATTGCTCTTTTATAAGAAAATTTACTTGGTCTAATCTATAAACGATTGTTCTTACAATTAAATACGAAACTTGCCAAGCCGTAAAATATTCTTCTTCTATGAAATACCACCATAATAATGCTGAGATATTTGCAAAATTCGGACAGCAGATATCTGCGATGGGGAACGTCCGGAAAGTGAAATAGTCCGCTCGTTCCCCACCGTAGACACTCTCATCCTGAGTTTTGCAAATAACTCAGCATCATTATGGTTGTATGTCACGTAGTACCCAGCTGTGAAAAAATTCTAGTAGGCAACAAATGAAAGGTCAACATTATTCTTCTTATGTTCAAACCAGGAAACCTCTTTAGCTTATCGTTTCATTTTAATATTACTGTATCGGAAAGCTGTATGCTAATGCACGGTTGAACCATCGTTATTTTAGTCTCGAATTGGTATTTATCTTGCTCATAATCCAGCGGGCACATCATCCAGAAATATGTTACATTTTGCTCAAATGGTCCACACAAAACGTATGGCGTCGTTTGACCGAGGAAGTGAAGGGAATATTCGATGGTATGGGCAGGTGAGGACATAGCCCTAGATGAGCACTATTAATATTTCATGAATGCTATCGAAGATCTTACCGTAAGCCTATCAGCAAACCTGTCAAATGGAAAAGTGTGTAGTAACTAATGTCGTTCTATTCTCAGAGCGTTCCCACTGAGTACGATTTGACACGAATTCATTGCGACTCGTATTTATTTTATTCGGACTATGATTGGCTAGCAAGTGCTGCGGATGTTGAACAATTCCTTCTTCCCGCTCTACCAAAGACGAGTGTCAAATTCGCAAGGTTTCAAATATTTCAGTTTCATCCATTATTTCTATTCTTCTACTCAATATTACTCCTAGTTTCATCTTTATTCTCATTATATTCGTGAGATGTCATCTCGCCATTATACATCAGTTAATAAAGGAAGCGCAGGAATTAGAGGTGCCGTTCGATATTGCGAACACGGTCACTGGTTCAACCCCGAGGCAGTCAGCCAGGCCTTCTATCCCCAGAAGTCAGCAAACTACTATAAAACTCGAAACAACGACTTTCTATAAACCTCGGCATAGATAGTTGATATATTTATTTATGTGATCTTATAAACTGATCTTCTTAAGCTGACGCGAGGTTGGTACAGATCTTTGTTGTCGTTGTCGTTGTTTTTGATGTTATTGATCGATGGCTGACGTTTCGACGACTTCACCTTCCTCAGAGCCTGGACGTACTTTACGTTAGAATACTTTTTATTATTCCGTGGAAAACAAGGTTAAAGTATTAATGAAGATCAAACTTTCAAACAGACGCCATATTGAACAGAAAGGCCACACACCGTGATGTTAAGTGCGGGACTGGTCCAGTCATAACTTTCATAGTTACATAACTTTCAAGACCACTTTTTCTTAAGCACTTTTTAATGGCGTGACTTACTTTATTTGATATGAAGGGCAGCTTAAAGGAAAACCTACTGTCGTCTGAAATATTATTTTGGGGAACTACCCAACGTTTTCCTCTAACCCGAGTGGCTTCTACTTCGTAGCCATTGGAAATGGCAATTTTTCGTGCCAGGTTTCGCGATTCCTTCCTTTCCTCTTCTCCTGTACACACATTTTTAGCCGTACGGTACATATTTTTGATAAGTTTGATAAGTAGTTTCAGAAACAAATGCTGAGCATCGAAATGAAACTGCTACGCATTTCATTGCGGTGCACACAAAACGAAATGTTTTCACTATTAAACAAATGTGTGTGCAAAGAAAACCATTTTGGTCAGCATTTGGAGAGAAATCTTTGGAAAAGAATAGTAGCTGGGTCTAAATCGGTATGCGAAAAGATTCGGTGTGATATTAAGAGCAAGTTAAGGAAAAAGTTTGAAGATCTATCACGCCGCTCAAAAAGGTCAAATCAGAGGACCACTGCTGGTCAAGTTGCAAGTAAAAACCCTGAAATAGGCTGCGCACCAAGAACATCCAGGGTTACTGCGCTAGTAGGTATAACGCTTCCGGAAAATATGCGTTCCTTTTTAGAATTGGGTCTGAGTTTTGCACCTAGTCAACCCATTTCTAAACCAATCCTGCGCAGGATCACGTGTAGTCTGCATGAACTTCAAGATCAGCTACGTTATAGAGTTAGGCTAGAAAGGTTAGGTAAAGTAGTATCAAGGGGGAACTATCACCAATACCCTTTCCCCGAACTTTATTTAAACAAGAGCTACGAAATACCGATATTGACCCTACATTTCGTTTATTTTCGGACGAAATTCTCCGCATACTTAATCACTACCAAAAAAGGAAACCAAGCTCCAACCTCACAAACCAACAAAAATGTGGTATGCACCAGGTTAGAGAGCTTTTGAATTCAAAATCTGTTAGACTTTCTATTAGTGATAAAGGCGGAGAATTTGTGGTTCTTCCTAGTCAGTTGGATATTAGGATAACAGAGGAGCACCTCAGTGATGTTTCTCTCTATCTAACATCCTCAGAAAAGGAATAGAGAAATCAATACCGAAAATTGAATCAAGAATGGGTCAGCACGGCAAAGGCCGCGGGTTTAGCGCCTTCAGTTATTTCTCGACTTAAGAACGAACACCCGATTTGCCCTGTCCTTTACTTGCTTATTAAAACACATAAGCTTACTTCAACTGATGATATTACGTCAACGAACCCATCATCATATAAAGTTAGACCTATCATCAGTTGTATAGGCGGGCCAACGGATAGAATAACGTGGTTCCTAAACCTTATCCTAACCCAACTGCTAAAATTCATTCCAACCCATCTACCTAACACCAAAATATTTCCAGATCACCTAAGGCGCTCGCAACCAAACAGCACGCATGTAATGGAGTCATTCGATGTTAGTTCACTTTATACCAACGTGTCCAATGACTCCGCAATGCAAGCCATTCTCGAGTTGCTCGTAGAGCATGAAAAGAAAGTAAAAATGTACGGCTTGTCGATTGCGCAACTAATGACCCTCTTAAAACAGTGTCTTAGTTGTTCAATCTTTAGGTGGTCTGGAAAATATTTTGCACAAATTAGAGGGTTGGCGATGGGGCAGCGTTTAGCACCAAGCCTTACCATCGCTTTTATGTCTANAAACAGCACGCATGTAATGGAGTCATTCGATGTTAGTTCACTTTATACCAACGTGTCCAATGACTCCGCAATGCAAGCCATTCTCGAGTTGCTCGTAGAGCATGAAAAGAAAGTAAAAATGTACGGCTTGTCGATTGCGCAACTAATGACCCTCTTAAAACAGTGTCTTAGTTGTTCAATCTTTAGGTGGTCTGGAAAATATTTTGCACAAATTAGAGGGTTGGCGATGGGGCAGCGTTTAGCACCAAGCCTTACCATCGCTTTTATGTCTAAGGTAGAAGCTCCAGTTCTCTATCACCGACCCTTACTCTACTGTCGATACATAGACGACTGCTTTATCGTCTGTTCCACACAAGAACAGATGGATGAGTGCTTTGAATTATAAAACCGACAATTAGAGTATATAAAATTTACACGAGAAAAACCTACCGAGAACTGGCTTCCATTCCTAAACATCCAAATAAAGTCCTCAGTAAGTGGCTATGTAACAAAATGGTATCGCAAGCCAAGTAGTAAAAACATTCTAGTCCACTGCCTCTCCTCTCATCCTTCACACATGAAAAATGCACTTATCAAAAATATGTATCAAACGGCTAAAAATGTGTGTACAGGAGAAAAGGAAAGGAAGGAATCGCAAAACCTGGCACGAAAAATTGCCATTTCCAATGGCTACGAAGTAGAAGCCACTCGGATTAGAGGAAAACGTTGGGTAGTTTCCCAAAATAATATTTCGGACGAAAGTAGGATCCCCTTTAAGCTGCCCTTCATATCAAATGAAGTAAGTCATGCCATTAAAAAGTGCTTAAGAAAAAGTGGTCTTGAAAGTTATGTAACTATGAAAGTTATGACTGGACCAGACCCGCACTTAACATCACGGTGTATATATATATTTATATAATATATTTATTTTCGGCTAACCTTTCGACGTCTTCGTCTTCACCAGAGCCGGTTATATTTATCAACGTCTTGCAAGCTCATCAAAGAAAGAATACATATTGATTAGTCATACTGAGGTTAAAGGAAAGTCGGTTTCGAAGTATTAATATACATTTGGTGTAATTCTGTATTTTGTTTTACATTCTAACGTTCCGTACAGTGAGCAAAACTTATAATTATGACTAAAATGAAATGAAAGCTGATCCCGCGGATCTCTCTCATATGAGGGATCTCGAACAGGTTAGTGGCGAGGCTACGTGGCACGTCCCCAGGTGACGGCTATGGGGTTAATCGCATACTAAAAGCGACCTTTGCTTCTCTGAGACACAGGTGGATCCAGGGGGTGGACCCCCTATTTCTGCTGCGCCGATTTGGCACATGCTTTCTGTATTTGCTAAACGTATTCATGCATGCGCGTGTATGTGTGCGTTCTAGCTTATGCGGTTTGTATTCTACTAGTCAATTCGGCTAAAAGCCTGCAATCAAGTGACTAGGAGGTATATGGGAGGCGGTTAGAAGCCGCCTCCAACAAATAAGCTCGATGTCCACTCTGGGAGAACCTGGCAAGCTACGCGTGAGCATATCCAGCCCCTACGTTCAGAGCCCAGCAAGCTATACGTGGGTATCAAGATGCTAAACACAGTAAAAAAAAACGGGCCTCATTTTCTTGACCCCGAAAGAGCACCCAATTTCGCAGCGTTAGGTAGGACGAGTACGGAGAGCCTGCTAAAATCTCAAGGTCAATGGAAACTTCTTAGATTACAAAGAACTATGATGACGATCTGTACCTACAATGCACGTACACTTGCATCCGATTCCTCGATAGAAGACTTGATCATGCAAGCAAGAAGGATAAGGTACGAGGTTATCGGCCTGGCGAGACGAGACGAAACCACCCATTCAACGCCGTCTATAATACCGGAGAAGAACCGTTCCGCGGAACATGCGACAGTAGATGAGCGGGCGGCGTCGGGATTCTGGTCAACACGAGTTTGTCCGTGAACACCGATTCATTCGTGCAGCTAACAACCCGAATCGGGCGTTTACGATTAAAAAGACGTCGATCAATACAGGCTTTGACAATCTTCGTCGCTTACGCCCTGACATCAAACTATGACGAAGAAGAAGTCGAAGCGTTCTATATGCACTTGAAGAAGTTCTACGGAGAAGACCATACATTCTTCAACGTCATCATTGGAGATTTCAACGCCAAGATTGGACCAAGAAGAACGTCTGAAGAGCGTCACATCGGGACCCATCGATTAGAGTCGGACGAACAGGGTGAGCGGCTATCTGAGTTTATCATGGATACCAAGACCATCCATGGTAACTCGCAATTCCAGAAGCCCCACCCTCAACGCTGGACGTGGAAATCTCTCAGTGGAGAGTGCCATAACGAAATATACCACATCATAGTAAATAGAAGGTTTTGCCTAACCGATGTAGCTGCTGTCCCAAAATTCTACATGGGATCAGACCACCGTCTCCTTCGTGCAAGATTCTATTTCTCGCGGAAAGGGGAAAAAGCCGCTAAATTTAAAAACCGAAGTCCCAGAGCCACCATAAACTGGGACTTACTCAATTCATTAGTCGGCTATTGGGAAGATGCCGTTGTCGATAACATCGACGAAAAATACAATCGGCTCATTCAACATATTCAGGTTAGCGCTACGAAAACTGAGAGTTCGAAAGTCACCAAGAGACGTTTGACTCCAGAAACACTCAAGCTGATACGCCAGCGTGGAATCGCACGAGCTACAGGCAACCGCGAACTAACTTCCGAGCTTGGAAAACAATGCAGACAGGGAATAAAAGAGGATAAGAGAGAACGGCAGCAGTAACGGTCGAAGCTGCAGAGG